ACAAGACATCCCTAACCGTTGTAGCTACAATGGCATACTTCTACATTGTAGGTACAGTTGCGAACTTTGAAAAAAAAATGTGGAAGGCCACGTGTTTCGTAACCATTGTAAAAATTGAAGACAAATGTTTTAGTAATTCCCCTTTTTAAAAAAGATATCACTTTCATAATTGACTAACATAGTATATATTAATTTTAAATTTAACCTTATTGAAAAAAGAATAAAAAATTTATCTAGAATTTAAGGTTTAAAGAAATCAATTATGAACTTTAGCTATTGTTGGGTTTCAACTTATTAACTATGTTCTTAGAGTAGAATTTATTGGGCATTTTTAAGGTATTTTATTTTTTTAACTTTTTAGTACAAAAAAGTTTTAAGTGAATATTTCACATAAAATAGATTTTGTCCCAAAATGATAGTTTTTTTTAAAGAAAAAAATTTCTCTAAATTATAAATTTAGGGATAATTTATTTTTTAACATATATTTTCTCAAAAATATAAAAGATAAAAAAGACTTTTGGTAATTGAATAGATAATTATAGTCAAGAGTAATGATAGGATTAAAATAAAAAAATATTTATCAAACAGGTTTTTTCTTTAAGTTGATCTATAAGAGAAAGTGCAAGAATAACGAAGAAATTAGTGTTTAAATACTCTTATTAAATCGTCATTGCATACTAATTCACTAAGTATATTTAATTAATTTCATACGCATTCTTATGCTTTTTTTATTTTTTCAAATTGAAAATGCATCACCCGAAAATTTATTTATCCCCCTATAAATTAATATGAAAAAAAAAATGACAATTAGTGAATCGAAAAATGAGTATTATTTTGTGAAGGAAGTAAATGACAATAAAATTTGATCAAGAGAAACTACTTAATAAGGACATATATGAAAATGAAAATTTTTAGTTACTCTCTTATTTAACTTTTCGTTATCCTAATTTAACTTTTGAATATGAATTTTAGATAAAATTTTAACATTATATATGAATGATAATTGAAATTTTTTTTTCTTATATATAGTTCTTATTGAGTAATATAAAATAATTTCAATTCCCACTCATCTATTACATTATTCATCTAATATTCATATATAAAAATTCTAAAAAAAATTAAATTAGGACAATTAAAGTTGAATGCAGGTAATAAGATTTATTTTAATGTTAAATTTTTATAAAAATAATATGGTTACAATATTATATGGTATTATAAGTTTACTTGTTATATAATTGACCATATATTTTTATTCATAAACTTATTTATAATATTATATGTATTTACACATTTAATAATATATCATATTTATTTAATTACATATAATAATTATAATTTTATAATTTTATGTGATATTATAATTAAATATTATTAAAATTAATTTTTACCTAAAGTTTTTATCTTAAAAATTAAAAAATTATAAAGTTGAAGGAAGAGAATATAAGATAAGATGAGGTGATCTCGAGTAATTCTTTACTGGTGCATGGTATCATTCCATTAATAGCTGCGAAATGACCAACAAGAATCCAAGGGGGCTCCTTAGTTGTGCGACCCATTTATGGGAAAAGAAGAGAGAGATATTAAAAAGATGCAAATTTTAATAACGAAAAATCCCATCAAGATTATCTTAATTTAATAAGATTTTTTCTGCCAAGAACTATTTCTTGCTGACTAAGAAAATCAAAGCCAAGTCGGTAAGATAATCTTATTTTTTAAGTGCAGTACAATTGCACAGTTATCAATTATTTGTTTATTTATTTA